CTTACCCCCTTCACCATCCTCCGCAGCGGACTATTTAATGACGGGTGTTACGTAAAGCTATCACGCGAACCGTAATTAATGAAATTCGCGAACTTCCGTGGCTTCGAACCACCGTGAAGGATGGATGGAGTTCGCTCTACTCAAACATGGTACAAAGATGTGCATTTGCGTGTAGTGTTCAAATCTTTATTATTTTTGATTTTGACGTGCGGAACGGCTCTTGCATCCCGAAATTATAATTACACAATTAAGATTAAATCTTCTGAAGAAAATGATCCGAAGTTTCGGAACGGACAAAACAGGACAGGGCTTGAAGATGGTAATCGTCGATATATCCACCTTTCTCTCTCTTGCGCATTCCTTGACCCTGTATGTCTCCTACGTTAAACGCACATCGGGTTCTTATCGCGACATCGATCTGCACGTGACGCTTATTTTTTTGTTTGTTATGTTTTAAAGGACCCGACGCATTCCTGCCATCATTTTCGGTCTGAAATCGCAAATTGCGTAATTAAAGTGCGAGCAACGGTATGCTAAGTGGACCACGCTTGCATCAGCAACCAACAAGCCTCCAATCAGTCAATCTTTCAAATACCATTTTTTTGTATATTCTACAGAACATTTTAGACACTTTAAAATACAAAAAAAATATTGTATATTATATTATATTAACCAACGATCACTCTTTATGTGCTAATATATTATATATTTATTAAAAAAGTTGCGTAATTATAATTATTAACCGATACATAAATGTATTATATAATTTAAATGTATTCTCGTGTATAATACGATATAAACTATATATATGAATAATAATATTAATTTTGATAATTATATAATTATCACATATAAACATGGATGTAAATATATTCCATGAGTTATTTTTTTAATGTGAAAAACGCTCCCTCATAATAATTAAATTTTTAATACATGCCAAGCGTATCATATTTAAAATAATCGGATAAAGTAGTTAACGTTGAAAAGCGCTAAAACGTTATTAAATTCTGGTAAAGCCTTTGAAGCAACAGGTTAGAATATTATAGCTTATAGCTAATGGCTACAGGTCTAAATCGATTGCAGAATTGTACAGTGGGTGATCGCTTAACGAACAGTTCGGATTGCGAACAAATCAGACAACCAAAAACATATATTCGGATAACGAACATCTTACACTATACTATACAAATTGAATTTTAATGCTATACCCATAATAATTTTGTTCGTTAACCGAACACCTACTGTAATTGAATTACGTTTAAAGTGAATTAAAAAACATTTTAAGAACCTTAGTTTTTTTTTCTTATGAAACAAATTTTCAGGAAAACAAAAAGGTTGAGAAATGCTGATCTATCATATGGTGTTGAATCAAGAGTGTTTTGAATTTCAATAGAGTACCCGATGTTACTGAATGATTAACTCTTGTTGTATCCTATGTAAACAACCATCGTCTATTTCTTGAGCGAAACAAGAGATTTAGAATTTCTCGTACCACTAAATTGATCTTAATGGCACGGAACGAACATGTGTGAATCGAGTATCGAATTGATTTAAGTTTTTTGTATGTATATTGTTTTTTGTTTTGCCGTAGTTCGATGACTTTCATGGATGATACCTACCATCGTTTAGTTGTTTTTCTGCGGTAATATTTGACCTAGAACGTTTTCCGATTGGTGTTCGACGTTAAACAAATGCAAACATTAGTTACGGCCGAACGGTTTTGCGACATTTCGTGTAACGCCAATAACCAGAGCTCTCGATCTCTCCACATTGTGATCACGGCGTGCAGCTTTCTTGAGGCTACGACCTCCTCCTGTGTGGCATGCACAATGCACTTTACCACAATTCATCCGATCCTTGCATACAAAACCATTTAATCAGAATGAACGACCGCAATTGGAATACCAGTAGTTTATTGGCTTTTATGATTGAATTCATTATTTTGCACGAGAATAACCAATGCATTATGAATGCCTTCGCCTTTGTTTCCATCTACTTTCTATTGTTTTACATTTGTTTAATCAACAAGATTTTAGCCTATAACCTTCGCTATTACAATCAAAGATCTTATTGTTTGTAAAGAGTAACAACCTTAACTATTTTTCAACAATTTTTATTTGTTTTTTTTTTTCATACTAGGAAGTAATGTCAATTGCTTAATTCAAATAAATATTTAACTTTTCAATACTTGTGTTATACAATTATCCAAATATTATAACGTATTTGATTCTCCAATACTAAATTCATTTTTGACATCATGTTATGGAAACAAAGAACTATTTAAAATAATCATCTTTAAGAAAATCATCTTGGAATAAAATGAAATGTATTATTAGATAAGTTTTATATTTAAAAAAAATAAATATTAAATTTGCATAGTTATATAATATCAGGAAAATAATATATTTTTGGACAAAATATGACTTTTTTGTTGTGATTAGAAATTTCTAATCGTGTTAAAGTGAAGGTGTGTTTTAAAAGTACCGTGTTATATGAGGAATACCTGTATATTAAATTGAGATGTAATTATCTGGATGTTGGTGTAAAACGGATCTTTTAAAAGGAACGTTAGTAGCGTCGTTCGTGGTTCGACGATCTTGTAAGTATGATTGCCGTAAAAATATTGTTTTCAGGGATTATTACGCGTTTGCATTATAATTATTTCCGAGTAAAATAATGGCGAGACAATTAGGCGATCCGAGAACCGTGTAAAAATCACGTCTCCACGAAAGACAGAAACGTGTCCATAGAAATGAACCAAAACAGAGAAAATGTTCCAATTATGATCAAGGTGTTAAACGTAAGGTAACAAATGGTCAGACCCACAAGGGGATCGAGAAACCATCCCAACTGGAGCCAATTATCATTGCTCCACGTACGATTGTCTTCTTCGATGGAAGAAGAACCAGAAGAACAAAAAAAAACTATATATATGATAGCTACCTTGCAACCAAACAGAATGAAAATGAAAGAGAAGAAACAGCATTCAGACCACCCATTGCATAAGTTACCGAGAACCGACTAATTGTTACACCCCACGTTCCCAAAATGCCATCCTCGAATCGTCTTATTAAAATATCGGCCGTTCCTTCATTATACTCTCTCTCTCTGTCTTTTCTTTCTTTGGATCTCGTTGTTCTTCATTGCCGCTGCTCTAATGTGGAATCTTAATTCTATCCCCGCTCATTATGTGCAATTATTTGTAAGCACATCTTTGGAGAAACGGAAACAAAAGGAAGACTCGAAAAATAAAAAGAAACGTGATCGAGATGGAAAGAATTCATGTCACACTGTTCAGCACAGACCATACAATGCCGAAACGTCTATAGTCTACGACGGGAATGTCGTCAGACTCTCAGAAATCACGAATGTTATGTCACATCTTGCCGACAAATCCTATTTCAGAGATGCAATATACCATATACTTCAGTGTATAAGATTTTAAATTTGATTGCTAGTTATTTCATGAAATATTAAAGAAACTACATCTGCAGTAATTGTATAAAGTCCTTAAAAAATAAATGCAAGATGAGTAAAAAAAACAGCCTATAATTGATATAAAGGATACATATTTAAAAGCTGTAGAATAAAACTAACAAACATATAAATTATAACATAATACTATGACATCTTTCATAATCAGTTACTAGGAAGTAATTTCTATTGATACTCGATTATTTAAAAGTATGCTGTGAACCAGTTTAAAGCTGTATAATGAAAATGAACGGGTTCTTGATTATTTTGCAAATGTCGCGTTAATGGCGTAGGGGCTCTGAAGATACCAACCACATTAGTCCAGTAGTTAAAATGCGCACTTTCCATACATTTACGTACATCCAATTGCAAAGCAATCATCATAGTCGTTATTGGTGGTTAAATTAACGTCCTTGCTGATTATTACCAAAGGCTTAAAATACATCTCAGGAAGTCCTTGGGGACAAAGCGAAACACGCATCTTCCTGTTTTCAGGTTTTTACCTCAGATAATCCCCCATAACAATTGTTACACACATATGAGCGAGTTGAATGCATTTAAACATCAATTAATCCTTACAATGTTATCTTAATCGCGCAAATGGCGTACGTTAAGGAAGGAATTAAAGGACTTCGGACAAGATGCTCACTAATTACCCCGGCCAATTAAAATTCGGACGATGTGATCTCCTCTCGCCATAACGGAAACGGAAAGTTCATTTACCCGTGCGGAAATGCTGCTCTGTTTTATTCATCTTCTTTATAATTCCTTCACCTCTTCCTTCTTCTGTTTTACTTTTTTTTTTATTAATTTCTGTCGTTGTTGTTTGTTCGTATTCATCGCAATCTGGTTTAACTAGGTAATCGTTTATTCTCAGGACTCGCGACCTGTGTGCATTTAATTAACGTGAATTTAGTGGCCTCCCTGTTATTTAACTGTTTCTTAAATTCAGGTTAATAAGAAGTTTACGTGCGGTAATGAATTTAATGCATTAATATTACATCTTCGTGAATCATTATCCACGTCTGCTTCTTATCTTAAACAGTGTGTTTTGCTCTTATGCGAAAGCCTTTGTACAAAGACAAAGGATCTTCGGTCTCGTTGTTCTTGGCTTCTACTAGATTCATTATAACAAGTTTATACGCGTATTATTTTTTTTTAATGCAGAAACGAACAATAACGAGCGGTATTTAGTAATTTTGTAGCACTTTACAATAATCGTTATATTTAATGTCGAGACATGTTTATAGGGCCATAAATAACAAGCGAGAAGATCTCTGAACGAAGTGGACAAAATAAACTAATGCATTAAAAACGACAATAGTGGCGGCGGGACGTGAATAGCTTTTTCGATAAGTTTATGGACAACTATATAGTTGCTTATTATCCATTTGGAATGGAATAGCTAACTAACCTACACCATTAAATTATATCGCAATGCATCGGTTTAGCGGATTAGAAACGGTGCACTCATAAGAGGGATGTTGGTATACTATTATTTCTATATTTGTTTTTCTTATTTGCAGAGCGATTATAGTTTTGCCAATTCCACCAGGAATTCTGCGTTGTTATGGCACGAGAGAGCTCACCTCAACGCCAAAAAATCCAGAGGAAAGATCTGTTCCATAGCATTAGCCACAGCGGCTTTCCTAGTTTTAGTCACAGTTCTAGCCATAGCCGGTCTAGCGTTATACATGGGAGCCTTCCGCAACGAACCGACTAATGGTAAGCAATAACCATTCTGTTCTAACCATATAACTAATAATTATTATTTCAGCATCAGTATCGTTTAGTTGTAGTGCAAAGGTATCAAAGGGCGATCGCTTTGTAACAGGTCTTCAGGACAAAGCTCGAAAGTATAGGCAACAATTGGAATTCCTCTACCAAAGGTCCACGCTTGGTCCTGCTCTGGTATCCTGCACCATCGAAAGGTTCGGCAACGATAGCCAAACAATCTTCTTTAAAATCACGCTGAATAGAATGAAGATTCCTAGGCATTTCACGAACGTTGAGAAGGCCCTTAAAGATATTTTATTATCCGATGCCGTTTCGCGGAAGCCAATCTTTCGAACAGTTCGATTCGATCCTAGGAGTATCAATATTAGGCAGTCGGCTGAAAGCGAAGCGTACCAAAGAGTCATAACTAAGCCCAAAGAGCTACCAAAAGTACGACCACCAGTTGTATTACATAAACCTACTGCAAAACCCAACCTGACTGTAACTGCTGATCTTCCTGTTAAGAAGAGACCAATTGTTGAAGAGATTGATATAAAGGAAGACAATTTACCGGTGATCCAAGGCTCTTTCAAAATCAGCAAAACCGAAGCAGATATCACCGAAAAGAAATCTATTCCAACTACTTTTGAAACCACTCACAAACCAAAGACTACCAGCTCACAAAAAGTTCCAACCCTTAAAGAAACTGCGGTAACTAGTGCACCGTTTAAGTTAGCGACTGCTGAAAAATCTCCCAAACCTTCATCAACAACAACTACTACTACCGCTACCACCACCTCAACAGCAAAAACAATAACTTCTACTACTAGTACAACCACTACAACGGAAAAGACCACTACAACTGAAAGAACAACAACAGTTCCGGAATTCAAATATCTTTCAACGAATTTGCCATCAAATAAATTTATCTTTTCTATTAGTCCTGACGTATATAATCAAGAGCCTTGGGTGCCGATTTACGAAAACAAAGAAGCTTCGGAAACGCCGCAGACTTTCAACCGTCCAATTTATACGAGTTTCACGAATCCTGGATTATCATTCAATCCGGTGGAAACTGAGAAGCTGGGTTCCACGAATCTGCAAGGTCACCCAATACCCGTGAATAAAATACCTACAATCACAGAACCGTTTTTCTTCGAAACAACCACTGATCTAGCACAAGAACGCAACGAAGACATGGATTTGTACGACCTTAAAACATCAGATAGTAATTTTGACGAGGGTTTCGTTGAGGTTGAAACGCTAAAGTACGTTCCAGGTTCTGCGAATACCACGACCATCGATACAGACGAGAAATCTAATTGGGAAATAGTGAATAGCACCACACCGAATAGTTCTGATGCTTACAAATTGAAGCAGACGGCTATTTTGAAAAACATATCTTCTATATTTCATAGTCTAGTGTCTACTTTAAGCTTAACAACTAAACCAACTGTGGAGGAAAAAGAACCTGATCGCGTAGGACAAGTAGAAGTCGTCGATGTTGATGATCTTTCTCTAATTATGCAAACGACAAAGTTGCCTTTGGTAACTTTACTTCCGGTGAAATCGAATTCTGGAGTTGGTAGACCAGTAAGGCCAAGACCCAAAAATGAGAACAAAACACTGATTGAAAACAGAAGTTTTTCGAATGATCCACCAAAGGTCAATTTAAACGCCTTCATCGAAACTCCGATCTTTACAGAAGTTGTCACCTCGGTCAGCTCAGAATCGAGCAAAGTGAAATTGAATAAAACTCAACTTGCTGAGTTCAAAGTTGGTAGCGATTTAAACTTTGCTACTGAAGTTGAGCAGGAAACAACAACAGAAGAATATAGTTTTGAGGATGATGTAGCTATACTAAGTATAAATTCATCCGGCGCAATCGAATCAGAAGTAGAAGGAGTGCATTACATAACACCAGAGAAATTAAAAAAATTGTCGGAGATCAGCAAGTTGAGCAACAACCATACTCTACCAGATGATGGTGTTATATCGACAAAAGCAATCTCATCTAGTTACACAATCAACCATTCTGGATTTAATTTATTGACGAAGACGTTTAACAAAATTCCGAATTCCGTCAAGGAGGAAGAAAAGAAAGCATCAACTGGTTATAATAGCTTTCACCTAAGCCTCAGTAACAGATCAGAATGCAGCAATTTTACTTACAAATGCGATGATGGACAATGCTTACCCGTCACGGCCAGATGCAACCAGTTGGTTGATTGTAATGACGGATCTGATGAGAAAAACTGCAATTGTGCCGATTATTTACGTTCTCAATTTCTCTTGAGGAAAATTTGCGACGGAATCGTCGATTGTTGGGATTATTCCGATGAAAATCAATGCGGTAAGATTTCTAATGAAATTTACTACATATTTATTAAAATATATATATTTTAGAATGGTGTTTGCCAAATCAATACGTCTGCGGAAACTCGAAAGTTTGCATAAATAGGACAAGTATATGTGACGGTATTAGGGATTGTCCGCATGGCGATGATGAAAGACAATGCGTCACAGTGGCGCCAAGCTTAAATGCAGCTGATGAATTTCCTTACCATTCAGAAGGATATTTGATGGTCAGGAAGCATGGGCAATGGGGAAAATGGTGCGTCGATAATTTTCAAAATGTTGTGGCTAAATCCCAAACGGCTTGGGAAATCAGAGATTTAGGACAAGCGGTTTGCAAAGCTATGACTTATCAGTAAGTCTCTAAATATTATGGAATTAGAACATATTTTAAATTATTGTTATTTTAGATCGTTGGATAATGTAAAAATTTTGAAGGAAAATAAGTCAAAAGCTATCTACAGAAATTCAAAGTACTACGAATTATCCTACACGTTTCAAAACGAAACCAAATCGAGTTTAACCTTTGAAAGCACTGGTTGTAAATCTGGTGAAGTGGTTAAAGTCAAATGTCAATCTTTACAATGCGGAGCTCGACCTCAAGCAGCTAAACAAGCAGCTAGGTTAGTGATTAAATCGCTGAACTTTAGTTCAAATTAATGTTAGACGATTTTACAGGATTGTTGGTGGTGGTAACGCAGGATTAGGAGCTTGGCCCTGGCAAGCAGCTCTTTATAAAGAAGGCGAATTCAAATGTGGCGCGACCCTAATTTCTGACAAGTGGTTATTATCTGCTGGTCATTGTTTCTACCAGTAAGTTTAACACTTAATAATCATCAATCTATGTTTAATTGATTTCTTATTTAGATCGCTTGATGAACATTGGGTGGCACGTTTAGGAGCTTTAAGAAGAGGAACTGCACTGCCATCTCCATATGAACAACTCAGACCTATAATTCAGATTATCTTACATCCGGATTACGTGGACGCCGGTTTCATAAATGATATATCTTTATTGAAGATGGAAGTCGGTGTTATATTCAGCGACTACGTGAGACCAATTTGCCTACCATCTGCAGAATCCCCTCCGAATGATGGCAGAATGTGTACTGTTATCGGATGGGGACAACTTTTCGAAATTGGAAAAATATTTCGTGAGTATTTTATAAAATAAATTAAGAAAATCGATTAATTTTTCTATTTTAGCTGATACACTCCAGGAAGTGCAAGTTCCGGTGATATCAACGGAAAAGTGCAGAGAAAGGACTTTGTTCATGCCTCTCTTCAGTTTGACCGAAGACATGTTCTGTGCGGGATACGATAGAGGTGGAAGAGACGCCTGTCTAGGAGATTCGGGAGGGCCATTGATGTGTCCAGAATCTGATGGCAGATGGGTTTTACATGGGATCACTAGCAACGGCTACGGATGCGCAAGACCCTACCATCCAGGAGTCTACACGAAGGTATCGAACTATATCAGCTGGATCGACTCTCATCTATCAGGAGCCTACAATTCCAATGGTACTGTAATAAAAAGCGCCTGCTCAGGACATCGCTGTCCTCTCGGAGAATGCTTATCGAAAAGCAGGTTGTGCAACGGATTCATCGAGTGCAGTGATGGTAGTGATGAGGTCGGTTGCTTAGATAACTGAAGAACAGTACAAAACTAAAGACACAAGGCTTCGTCCAGATAGTAGACCCTTGCGATATTTTTTCTGTGCATATTTTGAATGTAAGATGTTTTGAGTCATCAATGATGTTCATGACTCTAAAGATCGAAAGTGACAAATTCTGTATTTATCCCAGGGTCTAGGACAGTAGTGTAGTCCCAATTATAGGTTCTAGGGTTAATTTTATCTATTCATGCATTTTCATGCATAAACCTGAACTGCAGTGTCTTATAACAATTAACGCTACGCTACTGGTCTAGGATATTTATTTAAACGAGTGATATATTTTGTATATAAGTTATTTCTAATTATTGCATTAATTTAATTATATATTTTTTATCATTAAATTTAACCTGGAGACTTCCGCTCGGATTCAATCCAGATCGGTGATGAAATTTCAGCCCGAAGTTCTCAGGTTGAATAAGCCAATAAATGTTATCATTTCTTTTGTTACGTGCACTGCTATGTTACGTATAATTGCGCGATCCGATTAATCAGTCTAAGTTTTGCATTCGTTAAGCTAACACAATGTGTTTTGCACATACTGCCCAGGTGCATGTGCAACTACTAAAGAATCCGCTGCCAGATGTCATACCAATCTTTAGGTACGTATAGACAACATTAAATAAGTGGCTGTTTCTCATATTATCCTATGTAGACCACCCCCGATTGTTGAAGATGCACTCTCCGATGATGAGATCATCAATAATAACGTCAATGTTGTCATTGAGACAGAAGATCTAAATGATCAGGAGAATTTTCGGCAAGTGAAAATCGTGCCCGATTTCCATGTACGTCATAACGCTGATAATGAGGAGGAGCGTAACAATACCAACATCATCAGCATCAGGGAGGATAACACAAGATTCTTTTGGTACAACTACATGTTTGGAGCATTGATTGTAATACTATTTATTGTTATCTATTTCATTCAAATGTGAATAACCTCTGATGTTATGAAAATAAAATTGTGCAATTAAAATTGACCTTGTAATAATGAGTATTTTATTTACTAATTGGGTAACGTGCATTCAAATATTATTATACCGATTCAAATTCATGATGCAATAATCTATAATCAAATTAATATCATGATACTATTGTACACCTGGGAGTTCGCACAAGCGGCCCTTACTTCATTGGACTAAACTACACATAGGTAATATTGGTATAGAGATCAGCTGGCTAGGGAAGCCTCAGGAATGACGAAAAACTGAGAAGTGCTTCAACACCAGTTCCTAATGTTATGTATTATGTAAATATATATGAAGTTTCTTTTTTCAAATTATGATAACTTATTATACTACAGAATTCGGATATTTCTCATTCGGAACATTTAAAAAATATTTTTTCAAATTGG